CACAACTGAAAGAGAACTAAGTAATTGGTTCGTAGTCAATCAAGAAAGGTAAACCATACAACAATAATTTATGCCCCAAATGAGGAATCGCAATTAGAGGAATATAATATTATTGAGATGGTGAAGAATATTTGTAGCTGAGGTGATTGGTTTTGGTGGAATTTCGTCCTCTGAGCTGGATAGATTAGTCGTTGAGCTTTCACTGTTCTTCCGAACAACATCAGCATATATATATATATATATATATATATATATATATCGCTATCATGAATCAAATATTATATTTTGTTCTTGAACGAAGTTCCCCTTTTCCAAACATATTCTTAAGAGGAAAAATAAATTATGTGTGACTCATTGGAAGATCCTGTGATTTGACTGAAATGAAATTTATTTTTATCGTATAGAAACCTGGTGACTATTTATTCTGGCAAAGTCTTGAATTTAAAGTTATGAAATTATATCACTTTGACTAGAAATGGTAATGAATATATATGGAAGAATTTCAAAAATAAATATTTACAACTCTATTAATATTTATTTCTTATTATTAATATTACGTATAATGATTTTTGTCGAATAGTTTACTTTTCATTATGAGCATAAACTTTTTAAATTCGATTACATTTCAACATTAGTACAATAGAATAGATACCTAATGATTACATGCTTTTCTTGTGCATAAACTCATTTCATATTATTAATCGTCGTTTTCTTCACTTAGGCTTCAGTAAAATTGTCACTATCTCAGCCATTGCGTAATCTATTCGAACCATGTCAAGTGGTTGATTTGACTGGTTCAACTTTAACTACTCAAAATCAATGTACGCATCATCATCAAATGGTGGTCGATAATTTTACATCTGATTTCAGTACTAACAGTAAAAAAACCACAACTTACAAAAGTTTGCTACTTTCAGATTGCGAACAAGATGGTTTACTAAGCCCATTTCTCAATACACAGTTAAACTTTTTGTATAACGAAGATATTAATGTCGATGATTATATTCCAAATTCTTTCAATGACCATCAAACATTGACCGATTCATGCGGATTTAATGAATGGACTATAAGAGAGTGGTGGTCAGATTTGATAAATCAACGATCTGATTACTACTCGATTTGTATCGGAGAATGGTCTTCAAATTCTTCCAGCAAATCTCAGTGGAAAAATCGTAATCGTAGCAAACAGCCACTTATTTTACCAAAACCAGTAGAAGAATTCATTGCTAAACACGATGAAAGTTTATCCAGAGCGCTTGGTCATGATGAATTAGTTCATGCCAAACAGAACGACAAGGATAATTCTCTAACAGAAGGTAATGTATATTGATTAACAGTTCCCATCATTTTATTGTTAATTTGACAACTTTCTTTTTCGTTTTGGCTTTCTCATTATTTTTATTAGATTTCAAAAGTGTTATCCAATGTACAGGTTCAGAAGGAATAGTAATTCTTAGCATGCATATCTCTTACCAATAATGTCAACTATAGGTAATATTAATTTATCTCCTCAGAATCGTTTTTTACTGACAAGTCATTTCATCTTTGAGCAAAACAACAACAACAACTCTATATATAGAAATCATCCAGAAATAGGTTGTATTATATTACACTCCCTTCATTACACTTTATTCTACAAGTCCATGAGTCATTAGGTTGTTACTATGTGGCTGAAAAGTGGCTCTCATCGTTGTTAGGATAAGCATTAGTTTATGTGGTTATTTAGTGTTGGTAGAGACAGGCCAATTATTTGGTTTTCGAGCTATCTGTAATTGGAGACATCGAGTAACATTAACCTTAGTGGATTAGATGCATTTACTGTTTATCACCGTCTAAGTCTTGAGCTTCATAACTATTTCGTATTTTTATCGCTTAAATTCGCCCTTTCTTTTCTCACTGCATTATTTAATGTTTAGTCTTTCCTAATCTCATGCAGAAATTATTTCAGATCTTTTACCATTCCTCTTGTTTGTTTAGTCTCTTTGTGTTGATGTAGTATGTTAATGTGTCTGTTGTGCATTTGTGTCGAAGAAGTTTCCATAATGTTCTCCTATCTACATTGTCAAACGCCTTTTCATAATCAAAGAAGTTGATGTAATGACAAGTCCCATTCAACTGATTGTTCGGCGATGATCCGTAGTGTCTCAATTCGGTCTGTGCATGATCGATCCTTACGGCCTATGCTCCTCCACAAGGAGTAACAGGTGTAAGTAAGTCCATGTTGCCAGACGTGCAACACCAAGGATACTTATTTTCTATGGAGACTTATCTGAGCACTAAGTTTTACAGAAGCGATTTAGTTGCATCAATTGTTAGGGAAACAATGTATGAACGTCGCTACATGTGCATACACTCACATTCCCGAAGCACATAACTCAAATGGTTACATTTCTTCTCAAGCATATCAGTTGCTTCATTTACGCGCTATCGAACTTTTCTACATGGATTCATATTGTTTCCACTTCTCTATATGTGTAGTCGTGTCCAGTTGAATAGCTGTATTCATGGTTAAGAAGTCCTTAACCAATGTCGAATTTCAATCTATATATTAATTAGTTTGTCTCTTAGGATCGATAATCATCCAATATCTCGTTCTTCAAAAGCACTAAGCTATATAACTAGGAAGAGTTCGTCTGGTTTGTTTTTCTCTTTATAAACTTTGATATTTCAGTTGACTATTCTAACACACAATGTTACCACTTGACTCTCAAAGTAACCCATTCTTCTAATTCAAGCGTAGACTATGTGTAAAGATACTTAACGTCAAGTTTATTGGATCTGGTTGTATCTCAGAAACGAGAAGTACAAAAACATAACTAATCGCTGTCACTCAGTTTAGAGTATGCAAAATTTACTGTTTCTAGGATTTCAGCACATTGCATTGTTATAAGACCTATTTAATTACGTGATTCATTTTACTGTTGTTGACGAGTTATCTGAATAATTTATTATCCGTATTTTTTATTTGAATTCCTACGGGTTTATTAGAATCCAACAATGTCAATGCTTCTCAGACCTTAGAAGCTGAGGAACCTGTATGTTTACATTGTTCTGACCCTAGCCGAAGCATGAAGTGGTTAGTCGACATCTGTGCAATGATTTGTGGAGCGTCCAATATTAAATCACTACTCACTGAAATTGAATGTCTAGAACGCTTGCTTAAGTGGCATGCGAAAGCTTCATGTTCACACTCAGTTTCAGGAAATGATCCACGTCAAGTTGATTATGCACTTTTGTCATTTTTTGACTTGAATGTAGATATTTGTGAAGTATCACGAAATCTGTAGATTAGTCACTTTTTCTATATCTTTTTTCTGATATGTCGTTCTCAAATTAATTTGTACAGAGATATCAATGATTTATATTTTACTTATTTTATCAACTGAACCTGAACTGGTTATGTAATTGCGGTAGTAAATCTGTTTTTCATTGAATTGCACAGTATAGAGAAAAAATCTTAACGTACATAGGCTTAATTAGTTGAGGTTCTCGATAGATGTAAGGTTTTGTAATTGCGCTTTAAGATATAGCGATAGTTTTCCGTTTGGTATTATGGGAAGCCGTTATGAAGTTTGTCCCATCAGCATCTTAGTGTTTCTAGACCCCATAGAACGCCAGTCGGTCAGCCACAACGCAGGACCAGGCACAAATTTCCATACCTCATTAGCACAACAGGGTGAACACCAAATTCATCGTAATTACTTCAATGGCAGTAATATATAAATGGAAAGTTGTGTATAAGGATATAATACAGGAAGAAAGAAAGGTATAAAGCAATTTAACCTCACGGTTTAAGGGGAGACAAGGAGTGTACACATCCTATAGTATGATTAAGTTACGGGCTTGGCTAGGTATGTATCAACAGACTATCGATCTAGAACTCGGATATTGACAAGGTAAGTGAATGAAATACACAACACTATTTTTTAAGAAACTAAGTAAATAACTATTCCGCCTATTAAACATTCGTCAACCCGAATGCAATTCTTAGTTAACCAAGTTGGTAAAAACATGTAGTGCACATAACCATTTGAATCTTGACTCAGTATGCTATTTCGGTTTGTATTAACGGGTGACACCCCAGACAAGGCATGGACTTTTGAGCGAATTGGTGTTTGTATTAGGCTCTATTGTGTTACTAACTGGTTATAAAAGCTGGCACTGATAGTGTGTTCAAAGTTTATTGCTCGGACGTTTAATATCCACTTGGGAGGTGTTGGTCCTAAACAACACCTTGTTTGACAAATCAAGCAATCGGTTCTAGTTTATATGATATTAGAGACCAAAAATGTCAGGTTTTCCTCGCATTTCGATGGTAGGTGGATCGGCATGTCAGATATATGTAGTGTGCGAAGACAGTATAGAAAATTCGCATCGCGACTGCATCAGCATGTGCGCTTTATGGAAGTAATATAAATAATACCAAATAAGCAATGGTATTACGCGGTATTAGTAGTAGTACGACTGCGTTCGCAAGGAATGTGCACAGACCCTACTACTTTGGTCACTGATTAAGGCTTATTATAGCTGGTTTCAACAGGCTGCTTTCGCTCTTTCAGTTTTCTCTTGTATCCTTACATGGATACTGAGTCCATCTTTAAAGTCATTTATTAAGAACAAGCATTATCACGAATGTTCAGTCAGTTCTCTAACTAGATCCTGAGTGTTATGATTGCTCTATTCTGTTCTCATCAATCACCAGTTCCGCAGAGCACAAAACACCAAAACGGACTTTAAAAGCATTTATTAAAAAATGACCGAGAAAAAGATCATACATATTAAGCCACATACCGCTATATTATCTAAAGGGAAATACATCTTACACATATGAAACGACAATTCAGACAAGCAACTTCGAATAAAAAAGGATGAGCAATGTGAGACTAGATTTGTACAGTTTTCCCACACGAGTTTATTATTTCAGAAATGAACCAGACGCAAGGCATGTACAATAAAACGGGTTTTTTCGCAGATATTAAAAGATGAAAAATCAATTTACACTACTCAATCAGCTTCTTCGACTTGAAATAACGTCTTAAATATAGTACCTGCCAACATGCGAAGCCGATGAGGATTACCATTGAAAGGATTGAGAAGTAGAGAACCCTTGTATGAGTAGATTCTGGAAAATAAGAAGTAATGAAAGTGGGTTGACTTTGACGCAAATTCTAACGAAGTAAAAAAATTAGTATTTTTACGGAAGTGATACTATAACCCACGTGACATAACTGACAATATGGTCTTTTAGTTACTCATCAGTATTAGTTTAGTAAGTGATTAGCAAGCAAACAAAAATTTGTTTATTAAAACATAGGAATCAAATAGAAACTTATATTACATCGACTTGGATATAATTTTTAACAAAAAAGGCAATGCTTCTAACCTTTCGGAAAGAATATAATTCTGACGATGCCGTAAGCTGTTTATTTATTTGAATCCAAACATTGGTACAAGGGGGGCGCCATATACATATGCACCACACAATGGCCTTCAAATGCCTTGGTACGGCCGAGAGTGGGGAGAGTCCGCTCTCCCTCTCAAAATGCTCTCACGTGTATATAGCCTCTGTCGGGGAAGTCCTACTCACTTCCTTCTTGTGGCGGGGGTGTTGTTTACAAAAATGAGAGGACGAAAAGCGAATGTCCGGCGTTTTAACCGGATCACAAACCAATGGTGCACATGGGCTCCAGTGTCCTGTGGGAACGAATGGCATATGAACCAATAGTTGGTTACAGGCTTCCATGGGACTGCATCTCTTTATGATGTTCCACTGCCTTGTGGATCAGACCCTCAGGCCGGAGGCTCGGGGTGTGGCCCCCTAAGAAAACCACCTGGGCAGTATCACAGCCCTCACACATATCGAATGAGATTTGTGTGGCGCATATCTATTTGGTGCCTCCTTGTAGCAATATCTATGTGTTAAAATAAATAACAAATACCACACAATGACAATGAGGTTGTGAAGAGATAAAAGGCTTAAAACGCGTATAATAAAAGGAAGAACAACAATCAACAGAAATTAAAGGATAGAAGTGAAGTAAAAACATCATTATAGCGAAAAGCAGTTCGGTTAGTAAAAATACAACCAGAAAGAATTCAGTCAAAGAAGTTACATTTACTTTTATGAAGTAAAAGAAAGCTACAGCAGGTTCGCCACTGGTTTCTATTCTGAGTCATGTCTGATAACGTCTCTAGTCACTGTGTTGCACCGTCTCTAGGACCACAGCCGGGTAGTCATGAAGGATCAACAAGAGCCAGTCCTGTGCAAATTTCACCAGCCAGTCAGCTACAACGTAGGACCAGGCACATATGTGGACCGGTCCAAGTTGTCATACCCCATTAACTCAACAAGACATACCAAATTCATAGTAGTAGTTAATTCAGTGGCGGCAATATATAAAAGAAAGATTGCATATAAGGACATAGTACAGGAAAAAAGATGTGAAGTGATTTTAATCTCATAGGGTAAAGGAAGACAAAGAGTGTATACACCTAAGCCATTGTGATCGATTCTGAGCCATGTCACTTAGAGTCTTAAACCATCGATTACGAGTCACGCGAACCCCTACCAAGTACTCTGCATCTACCAGCGTGGCTCACACCAGAAGTCAATGATTTCAAACACTGATGACACGTTTTGGTTTGACCACCTCTAACTTTCTTCCAACCATCCCCCACACTAGTCAGAATTGGTGGTTATCGGTGTTCAGGCATACGTAACACGTGGCCCAACCATCTCGGTCAATGGAGATCCACAACTTCATCAACTGATTTACCATCATTCCCTTATACCCTGCGTCTAATCTCACTATTACTTATCCGGTGGTCCCAGCAGATGCGAGCATTATTTCCTAGACATCTGTGGTCAAATCCTATTAGCTTACGAATATCTTCGGTCCTTAGTGACCACGTTTCGCGGACGTAAATTACAACAGAAAAACTGCTGCGCAGTATACTCGTCGTTTAATTGATATATGGATATCTCGCCTTCGCCATAGGTGACGTAAATGGGCAAAAACCAAACCAGCTTTTCGAATTCGTGCTGAGATTTCATCAGACATCAACTCTCATACCACGACACAATGTCACACATTGACCATCTCTTTGCATTTTCCAACCAGTTCCAGCGTTCTCAATTAATACACGACGTGGGATTCTCTGGGACGATATCGGTGGGACATGATAATAGCGAGCAAATCAGTTGAGTGTATTGATTACTGCAATTACTATTGAGGTTTATTCAGCCCTGGCAGGTTAGTGTCTGATGAACTTTCGGCAGGGATTGAACAACCTCACCTGTTTTTCGGCACAATGTATTATTTATAGCATAAGAGAGATGCTCCTAAAGCTATAAAATTGTCGATATAATGTTCAACAGTTCTAAGTTCGAAAAATAACATGTAGCATGAGTTTGAGACAACGCAAATTTGTGACAAATTCTACTCCGTTTGCTATTGATGATTCCCAGTGGACTGGCTTATCGAGGGTAAATACAAGTTTTTATTTATTAATTTTAACATATAGATATTGGTACAAAAAGGCACCAGATACATATGCGCCACACAGATCTCATTTGATATGTGTGAGGGCTGTGATACTGCTCGGGTTCCTAAACCGAAGCAGAGTACAAGTTTTAGGAAATGAAAAACAAATACCCACTAACTACGCGTAGGCTCAGAAGAAACAAAGAGACATGATTTATTGTCAACCAAAAATGTGCTGAACGGACACTAGTTTTCATATACAAACAAACAAAAAACAGAGGGTATCACATCCCGCCACTTTACAGAGCCGTACATCATCGCTGGCGAAAAGAATGAGAAACGTAACGACTTCGGAATATTTCGGCATAGTACGGGGAGCAGAATAGCTACTTATCGATGACAGTCAAACCTATTTCACCCTAAGATTCTAGAAATGTGCTAACTGGATGACTATTGTTGTAATAAGTTGCGGAAAATAATGACGGAAACCCCAGTTATCAACGCTTTGCCAGTTTAGTGTGTAAACAGTGATCACTATCACGATAATGGGACTGATCATCAATTTATACGAACTCGGAAGATTGTTATATCACATATGAAGCGACAAGAACGTGATACCAACCTTACTTACCGTTGATGTTTCGCATTTTGCTACTCTTCGAATGCATGACAACAAAATCCTGCACGATTTCATCGGCTAGACTTTCTAGTTTTTTCAGTAGCACTTCGATTGGTTGTAATTTCTCTGCTTTCGCCATCTACATACATAAGCAAAAAGTGAGCAACGAACCTTATCAAAATCCTTGGCCTCGGTACCGTGTTTTATATTAAGAAAGACTTCTTGTTCCGTGTCAGTATTATCTAGCAAACATAGATGACATGGAGATATTCAACTACCTGGCTGACTTTCGAAGCACACCTCAAATAGATCAAAGTCTTCTGTTGTGAATGCAAATTTCCCGCTTTTTATATTATCTCTCTGATACAGTATATGTTTTTTCACATCACGGACTTTGATATGGGTTGTGTGTTCATGGGGAGCAGTAATCTCATACTCACCATGTACAATAACGTCTTTGTGTGCCTCATCTTGAATACACTTTGTAACACCGTTTTTAAGCTTAAACCTCAGCCCTTTAATTGTTGATAAATAACAAAACAACAAGCATATTGCTAATACACCACAAATAAACCTCATCTAATACGTTGCGTACACGTCTGAACGCCAAGTTCACGAAACCTATTCATTAGCGCAGTAGAAGGCACAATGTATCCAATATTCAATATATAACTTGTCAGGCATTATATATGAAATGATTCCTTACAGCTAAAATATCGGTCGACAGGAGGATTTGTGGAGCATTTTGGGGTTCAAAAAATTTTATCGTCATTTTTCTATTTGTTTCTGAATGTTTGCTTTTTTAATTTTACATGAGAATGAGGTCACCGAAACCAATAGCCGCTACGACACTTTGGTCACTCACATGAAATCGGAAGAACGGAATTTGTAGAGTAAAATAAGAAGAAGTACGGGTCAATTAAAGCAAAAGTAAAATGCTTCTAATAGTTGAATAGTGGAATCAATTCGACAAGGGCATACGGAAGTAGGTAAGGCGAAAGAATAAAAACAGTGGAAGTGGTATTCGTGCTCAACGTAGGTAGAAAGTAAAATTACTTTTAGCTTCAGACAAAAAATTTTAAATAGTAAATTTTCATGCGATCGCTCAAATTTACGACCAAATATACGACTGCCGAAACTATGGTAAATTCGGTTGTGTAAAATTCAGGATCTGATTTCTGTGCTTGAATGCTGGTGGATAATTCCACGATTATTTCATCTTGGCTCATCGTGATAATCTTCCGAGTGAGTTTTCTGAAATGATTATGTCGCAATGTGTATCGTACGATGTTTATGGACAGTCTATTTCATTTCTAACCAAGAAAAACATCAACATTCAAGGCGGTACCCGTAGTTTTTCGTGCTGAATTCCTAGAGTTCTTCAGGTTACTTCAATCTTCTTGAAGTCTCCTTGAAGGTGAAATATTGTTATAATCTTCAGTATGCGAGTTTATGTACAATATTAACGATTTTAGGAGCTGTTTGATGATGAGATCCCTTAGCTATCTTCGTTGATGCATTATTAGAGGTGGTTTAGTTTCATCTATTAAATTCATACTGTTTTTATCTAGTATCTACTTCATAAGCAGACGCAGTTTATGTTTTGTTGAGATGATTGTAAAGAGCATAAGCTGTCCATTGATGTTTTAAGCTACGGACAAACATTTGATAAGATTCGAGCGAGCTAACTTCCACACAATTCTCTGTCAACCATTCAAATAAAGTACTTCACCTTCTGAACCTTTATAGAAGTCTCTTTGTATTAGAGGGCTGTTCACAGTTATGTATTTGCAGATAAGTTAGAACCAGCAAACTAAAACGTTTTAGATTGCCACTGATAAGTTCGAGGAGCGAGAATTTATCTTATGAGTGAACTAATAAGATTTAAGATAGCAACCCTTGGATTTTGGCCCAGTATTCACTAATTTATACAGATAAATTGCAATTCGACATTACAATTTATGTCAGTTAGTGGCGAAATGACTAACTCTTATTTCTAACCCAAAGTCTTACTACGTAAAGGCTGCATTCCTACAGTTGAAGAACATACGAAATTCAAAACAACTGTCAACCAACACCAAATCAGAAACTTCAATATGAACGTCGAAACAATCCTATTGTACGGAGCTGACACGTGAAGAACTACCACAACCATAATGAAAAAAGCAAAAGTATTTATAAACAATTGTCTACGAAGGATACTCAATGTCTGTTGATCGGACACCATCGGCAACAGCCTACTGTGGGAAAGAACAAACCAGCTTGAAAATGAAGAGGAAATTAGGAAAATTTGCTTCAGGTGGATAGGATAAACATTGAGGAAATCACCGAACTGCATCACGAGGTAAGCACTAACTTGTAATCCTGAAAGGAAACAGAGGAGTGGAAGACCAAGGGACACACTGTGTCAGGAGTCGGGAGCAGACATCGAAAGAATACATAGCGATTGGGATAGATAGCTAAAAATACAGTCCGATGGATAATGTTCGTGGACGTCCTATGCCCCCTCTATATGGGGCAACGGGCGTAAGGAATTAAGCAAGAATAAAGGTGCTAGTATCGAAGGAGACCATAAAACCACAGCATTGCTGAACCAAAGACTTCGAATCCTTTCAATTTTCGCCCAATTTTTTGAAACTGGTATGAAACCACAGCCCTTCATAAATATTTGGAATTTGTTATGGGGATGGGTAAGTGCAGTCTGTGCATGATGTCATCCCCATGAAGAATTTTTGTGGGACGATTTCGAGCGCATTAAGGTTAAGCAGGGTAGGGGGTTAGATATGAACGTCTGTACTCATCAGGTAACCCCGCTTTCTCACTACATTTGGAGGTTGTAGAGAAGTGACTAATTTGATTGTACTCAGGTCATGATACTACATTATCGTGATTTGACATACTTTATGACTAGTTTTACTTATTGGGCTATCTTTTAAGTACTAAGTTTCCATCTAGTATTAGAAGCCAGACCTCAATACCTCCACAAACTTCATATCAGTGGTGTGATCAAATCTGTTTTGTATGGTTTGTCCACTTGTCTTGGTAATGATTTCTTGGTTTCACCGTTCAAACGTGGTTGATTAACTCAGTGGACGTATGGAATAATGGCCTTATTCAAGCACGTTTTTTGTATAGACTATGTCCTTTATCGTAGTGATTGGTATCGTATATTGCGTTTCGATTTTACGTGTATGACATAACAAGTCACATAACTGTGTACAGGGCCAATGAACGTGATTTATAAGATACTGCTTATTAGAAATTGTAGATCCACGTAAATCAGTTCTTAAAATTCCTATTTTTGCAATTTAACTGTGAAGGTTTGAATATCTCATTTTTGTGTTTGAGGCGCTCATTATTGTTTTGAGTTCATATTTTTTCTCCTGGACGGACCATAAACACCAATGGTCTGTATTATCTTTTGTATTGTATGCATCACACATGAGTTGTGTGCTTGCCAATCGTTTTTTGAGCTGCTTGTGGAACTATATATTTTCTTGAATGACTCCAATCTTCTTCCTCCACTTAACAGGGTCGAGGCCAGAGGAATAGCTCAACTTGTTCTGTTATTGCTAGTTTTCATTCCGTTTGGTGGTTCATGGTGATATCATAATGTCTCGAACATAGAAGTGGTGACGGGAGTCGTTCAATCATTGTTTCCACTAATTGTTGGTTAACTGTAGAATGTACAGCAGAAAATAATTTTCCTCGTACTACTTGTTGAGCCTAGTATCACTATGTGAAAACTGAATAATTAGTGTATATAATTTTGAGAATTATATTCCGTTTATGAGAGCAGTAGATGTGGGTTTAGGTTTGATCGATGTGGCATCTATGCGAAATAATGATTGCGTAGCGTGGCGTCGAGTTGAGGATAACTATGAACACCGCTACCAAGAAACACGTGCCAAATAAATCAGAAGGCGTAGGTTGAAGGTAACCAAAGAAACCCATAAAATCTCCGAGAAGCCAAATATCAGAAGACAATTAACGGACCAAATCGAGATATATATTTGCTGGCGATCTCGTGGTATCGAAAGAATACCAAGATCGTGCCAGGATAAAAGCTTGGTTACAGAACGTAACCGAATTCGCGCGAAGTTACAATCAAAGTGTGTGTATATGAATGGAAGCACAAAATAGCTGTCATTAGCACAGTCAATCAAAAGCACATTAAAACAAGCACTGGTACAGTTGGTTATAATAATAATTGTTTTTATTAAACCAGTCGTGTTCTGGTGATAAATGTAGGTCACTACAATTGTTTTGTACTTGATTGTCCACTGATTACGAATCGCGGGTAAAATATGCCCATCTAACTCCATCTGCTCTAAATTACACCATTTCAGGAATTCTTAGCAGAATAATTCTAATGCTTCTAATAAAAGCTTGATGGCCGAACGGGACATAGGGAAATGTTGTCTTACTAATTTGATGTTAGGATATTTTCTAGCTACACTTCCTCAGATATTTCCCTCCACCGATAATTAAATTAACGGATGTTGTGACTGAATAAATACAGAATTCACGGAATTTTTCTCCCGACGACATCATTTATTGAAAATACCCATTCGTATTTAGAGTTGTTTGATAGACATATTGGTTTGCAGAAAGACAGAAGACATTGCGTCATAAAGTAATTCAAAGTTTTAGGTAACCAAAGAAGTTTGTATAATGATCATGAGGTTAGATAAGAACAGAAGGATGAAATTCGACAAACAATTTCCCACCTGACAGAATGATGGAAAAGCTAAATTTCATAATTACAACTGAATAATGGTTGTAAAACGTTTTTTTGGGGATATTAACTACAGATCACGGTTTAGAAAATATACAGTAATAATAATCAAAACAAAACAAGGGTGAAACACATAGAAGAAACGAATCAGTGGTAAAGGGAATGGAAGGTTGGATGTGTTGTTTCTTTATACTGTTTGAACTTGAATTGGTGAGTCACGAAAGCCTCAACAGTGCACAAGTTTTTGATTTGACCGCCATTTGATAAAATTATTTTGACATATTCGTGAATGGTAGATCGACTCGAGATGGCAATGAAATGCTTAGCTAAACAGAAAGTTTTACTCGGGATTCTAAAGTACGTTTATTGATGAATTCGACACCTGTTTTTCCTTTAAACTTGGTATTCATAAAGCAAATTTTCTTTTGAACGTCCGGGGCTATTTGAAGACATGGTCGTTCTGTTTAGGTCCTATCGACGAATGTAAGGAAATACAATTATTCATAATTATCTTGTTCGCTTCACGGTCAATTTCCCTACTTAACCCGGCTCTCATATGGACGACAAGTAAGCCAAGTAAGTGCTGATCCATTTTTTGTTATTCTTATTCCCCGATTTCAGTGCATCAGGAGACGCGAAGCTATTTCCTTGCAAAATTGGTGGCGGGATAATAAACACATAGTCTTTCATAATTTTAAGCAGCCATGTATCCATTGCCATAACCATATTCCCATGTGTTATTTGCCAGACACCGCTTATATATCAGTGAGTGTAGTATTAACTATTGTTTCGTATTCAGGGATTTTTAAGTGGTTCAGAGGACGCGTATGTACTATGGCGT